GCATGGGACCGCTTAGTCAAAAGGTACGACCGCAAACCGCTCATAATCAGGTCACTGGTGCAATCGTTTTTGGCTCTTCCCACCCTCTCTTCAACTAACACATCGGTACTTCGCCAAATAGTTGATGGAGCAGATCAAGCCATCAGAGGTCTGGACGCGTTGAATGTCACATCCCGCGACCCATGGCTAACTCAACTCTTGCTTAATAAATTAGACGAAGAAACGCGGAAAAAGTGGGCAGACAAATGCGATAACCAGAGCGAAAAAGGGTTTAGCGAGTTTCTCGAGTTTCTTTCTCATCGCTGTGTCACATTTGAGGCGTGTTTACCTCCCCGCTCAGCCCACACACGTCGCGTCGCTTTGTTGGCAAATGTTGATGACAGGAAGAACAAACAATGCGTCGTTTGCACGGACAATCACACGCTTTGGCAATGCGCTCAATTCAAACAGTTATCACCGTCGTCACGTCGGGCAGCTGTACAAAAACAAAAGCTATGTTTTAATTGCCTTGCCTCTACGCATTCCGTGCGCTCTTGTCAATCGAAGCATAGCTGTAAAAAATGTAGCTCACGCCACCATACACTTCTGCATGATGAACGGTCTGCCCTCACGCCCTCTTCTACTTCTTTTCCTTCATCAGCACAAAATAGTTGGGATCAAAATGAGCAAGTACCTGCTGTCACTACGCAGCGTATGCACACGCCAATACTAAAGCAAGCAGCGGTCAGCACATTAACCTCCGTTACTGCTGCTATGCCTCACACGTTTCTCCCAACGGTGGTGGCCGCAGTCGATGACAAATGGGGAAATCGGGTAAGCTGTCGAATATTGCTGGACTCTGGATCAACAATATAATTTGTGTCAGAAGCCTTTGTACAACGTGTCGGTCTATCACGTACAAACGGTCGTATATCAGTTTCTGGTCTATCAGCCTGCAATGCCGGAGTAACGCGAGGTCGGGTGTACTTCACTTTAAGCTCCAAATTGAACGACTCGACACTAGATATACACGCTTATATTCTCAGCAAGTTAACATCGCAAATTCCTGTTCAGACCGTGAATATTTCTTCATCAGCGTGGCGGTCAATTGTGAAACTACCACTCGCTGACCCTACATTCGCTGAATCAGCACCAATTGATGTATTGATTGGCTCCGATCAGTTGTGGAGCATTTACACTGGCGAGCAAAAACAGTTCGGGCCTAACATGCCGATTTTGCTGAATAGCGTGTTTGGTTGGGTGGTAGCTGGAACGCATTTTACCGAAAGCGAAGCTAACTTAACTGCTGCAACTCATCATGCTACCGTTAACATTGATGCGCTGTTTCGGTCATTTATGGAAGTCGATGATGTCAAACCTACACCAGAAAAGATCAATATGGCAGATCCAGCAGAGGCCCATTTTGTTCGTACTCCCACGCGTCGTACTGACGGTACCTACGTAGTCAAATATCCCTTCAAGGAAAAGGCACCGGCAATTTCATCAACTCTTTCGCAAGCTGTCACCAGATTACAATATATGGAACGCCGTTTCAAACGTGACTCATTTCTGAAGAGTCAATACATAAATTTTATGCGTGAGTATTTGTCGCTTGGCCATATGGCCCGTATTATGCCGCAGGAAGTTGACTGCCATCCATCGGAGTGTTTTTATCTGGCTCATCACGCAGTTCTCAAACCAGACAGCTCAACCACGAAATGCCGAGTCGTATTTGATGGATCCTGCAAAGATTCTGGTGGCTACTCACTTAACGAGCGTTTGCATATTGGCCCACACATTCAGCGTGATTTGTTTGGCGTGTGTATTCGTTTTCGTCAGCATCGTTACGTTTTCTCAGCTGACATAGAGAAAATGTTTCGCGGCATTATGGTATCAGATTCTGATACTAAATTCCAACGAATCGTTTGGCGGGAGGATGCGGGTTCACCAGTGGAGCATTACCGACTACTCACGGTAACCTACGGCCTTGCTGCGTCGCCTTTTCTTGCTGTACGTGTTCTCAAGCAACTGGCAGAAGACCATAAGGTAACCTACCCATTTGCAGCGCGTGTAATATTGAATGATACGTATGTCGATGACATAGCTACCGGATGTAATAACGTCGACGAGCTACTCCAGCTTAAAACTGAACTTATCGAGCTACTAAAACGTGCAAATTTTAAGTTACAAAAATGGTGTTCGAATTGCAAACCGTTGTTGGAAACCTTACCAAGAGAGCTGTGTGAGTATAGCCCAATCGACATCGCTTCCGAGCCCAACATTTTATGTGTTAAATTGCTTGGAATACAGTGGAGCCCTGACACGGACGAGTTCCAGATAGCAACTAAATTGCCTGAGTCATGCAGCGAGCCAACGAAGCGCAGTGTGTTATCGACAACAGCCAAAATCTTTGATCCTCTTGGTCTGGTGTCACCGAGTGTCGTGCTCTTTAAAATACTTTTACAAGAAACTTGGTGTCAAGGTGTCGACTGGGATACTAAGCTGCCACCCACTTTGAGTGATCACTGGAAGAAAATACTATCCGAGTTGCATTATCTCTCCAATGTCAGGATTCCACGTCAAATAGCTCCAGCCGGCGTCTCAATCGAAATCCACGGCTTTGCAGATGCCTCATCGTCGGCATACGCAGCTGCAGTTTATAGTAGATCCAAGCTAAGTGA